AGACGTCGCGATAAAAACTGGCAGACAGTCGGTTGGACTCCCTTTTGGTGCCTTGTGCACCGGAGAAGAGTCAGCGCTTTTGTTGGAGGAGCGTTTGGGGGATCTCGGGCATGGTGGAATGAAGGCGGTGCGCATTGCTCGGGCTATGATCATTGTTTTATCTTTGAAGCTCGGTTATGGCACTTTGTATGTGCATGACTTCGTGATTGCTTTGTGATCGCTTGGTTGAGGAAATGCTCTCTAGCACCAATCGTCGTAACCTATCAGGAGATTGTACCTGAAGGGGGTGGCGGCGCGTCACTACGGAGTATGTGGAGTATGCGGAGATCCGGAGTATTCAGAATATTCGGAGTATTCGAAGCAGCGGAGCGTGCCTAGAAGTGATATTGCGAGAAGTGAAGGATGAGTCATGAAAGTGGTACGAGTGGAGCCAGTGGCTCAAGTGGACTTGGAGGTGATAGTGGTGGCCGTGGGAGTGGAAATGAAGGCCATCGATCGAGATCAGAGAATTGGATGGCGGGTCGTACCTGCTACAAGTGTGGAGATCCATACCATTTTGCGAGCGTTTGTGATGAGTATAAGGAAGCGAAGAGTAGAGGTGTGCCATTTGTTCCTCCGCCGCAGGTACGGGGAGGTCGAACACTGGTTGTTGGACAGGAGAGAAGGAGCCTGCCGGCTGATAGTAATTTTCGGAGAGGTGGGAGTGATATGGATGGGCTGATGCGTTAGTATTTTCTGCAGAAGGCGCAGGAAAGGCGGGAACGCTTGGAAAGGGAAGCTAGAGAGGAGGCGACTCGGAGGGAGGAAAAAGCGCGAAGGGAAGCAAAACAGAAAAGACTCGAGGAATTAGCAGAGAAACGGACTTACGAGGACGAGCGTGATGAGCGACTGATGCGCATGGTGCGCGAAGAACTGTTGCGCAACAAAGAGAAGGACGACGAAGGAATTATAGTACGAAAGGTTAAGAAAGTTGTGAGAACAAACGAACAAGGGGAAACGCTCGAAGAGGAAAAGGAGCGTTTGAGGCGGATGATTGCGATGGCGGAAATGGACGAGGAAGATTTTGAGGATGATGAGCTACGTAGGCTGCATGGAAGGGCAGACGGATTGATTTTGAACGACAAACGGAAGCGGGGCAAAGAGATGGTGGTGGGAAATAGCCCCCCGATGGTTACACCTACAAAAGGGCAGCGGACGGGCCTTTCAAGTGGGGTTAAATTACGGATAGCGGAGATCAGAGGCAACGAGACAACTGCGGCAGGTTGTTCGTCGCCGGTGCTGGAGACGGTTGGGAAGATCGCCTTGTCGATCAAACATGTGACTGTTGGAACCGGGCCCGGCGCGAGAGAGGAGTATGAAGCCAACTGCCGGGAGCTTTTCGAAGCACTGACCATCGACAAGTTGAAAGATGTATGCAAGGCGGAACGAATTGTGTATGGAAAACGTGAAACAGTGATCAATCGACTGGTGAAAGGAGGGTCGTAAAGGCTTACGATCCTGTTGACGTACCTCTCTCTCCCTGAGACCCCAGGGGCAGCAGTGCGGCGGTCAGGAAGGACGACGCGCGCGACGGAAGCTGGTAAGGATAAGGACGACGAGACTGCGTCCGAGTGAGGAGGCAGACCTCAGGATCTATGGAGCAGGATTGGGCTGCTGACGGAGAGGCGACTGCAGCAGCATGGTCACAACACAGAGGACGAACGATGTATGCGGGCCTTAGTACTGTATTTGGTTTTGCAGGGGGAAGGAAAATGCTATAGAAAATTCATCGAGTATTGGTGAACGGCATCTGATTCTGGTGTATTGGATTTGGGTGAGGCGAGAGGTTGTGTATACGTGTTAGTATCACCATGGCATAGGCAAACGTACGTGGGTATGACGGAGAGGGACCTGATGAGACGCTGGGGAGAGCATTTGAATTGTATTAAGAAGGGAGGAACGAAACGGGGAAGGATTCTGTACAATTGGTTGGGGAAAGTAGGTTTTGAAAAGTATGTGGCGATACCCGTGTATTTCTGCAGGGATAGGGCCGAATTGGAAGCCGTAGAAAGAACTCTGATCAGGACATGGTCGCCGTCCCTGAACACGAGGGGCGTGAAGAAGAAGACAAGGAAGCGACGAAGGAAAGGGAAAAAGGAGAGACGRGGACAATRGGTAAGAAAGGTTGRGACCATGGGAAAYRACAKTGGACAGGAAGGGAAGATATTGGAGCTGCGGACATTCACCGGCTCGCCTACCATGCGGATAGTGGTTTTTTTTAGGAATATAGTTAAGCAGTCGCATGGTACTGGAGTTGAGGTGTTGAGCAACGGAGGGMAGACATGGTCAGACGGYTGGCGCGTAGWACGTAGGCTTTTTGGCGRGACAYGCRTAGTCGTGGGAAGAARAACGAGACCATTAAGGAAGTGTAAGAGGCTGTTGGAAACCGAGGGGCGATTGGTGATGCGGGATGTGGTGGAAGCATCACCGAGGACATTGAAAATGAAGCAGGACCTGATCGGCATGTCCAAGAATAAAAGGAAGCGGAAAAGGTTATTTGAGAAGACGGTGGATGAGTTGGTGAGTTATTATGGCGCTGCGAAACTGTTTTCGGAGAGGGGAAGCAGAACCAGGGCACGAAGAATGTTGTCTGACGTGTTTAGGAGGAAGTTTGGAATGAATGTTAGGAGGCGGATCATAGTGAAGGTCGAGTATGATGATAGCGTAAGGAAGAGCGAGGTGGTGCGATTAGTACGGAGTGGCGTGGGGAGACTACAATTGACTCGGTCTGTGGTGGGAATGGTACGAAGACGCACCCGCGTTGTATGGACAAGAAGCCAAAACGTGAGTGAGATCCTCCATAATCACCGTCGCTACGCGGCGGATGGGGTCTTTGGGTGCACTTGCACCGATATGTCCTTCCCTCGATTGGGAGGGCACGTCCATTTCCGCCTAGGAGAGTTGACTGAGTGTCTTGACATTGCCCGGAATGCTAAGAATGTGCCGAGGGATGGTGGTAACGGTGTGTTGACCAGATTGGCGAAAGAGTTGTCAAATGCGGTGGATGACGTGAGTTGGTTAGGGAAGGATGTCGGAAAGATCAGTTTCTCGCTGGAGGAAGTCGGGCGTTGTGTAGGAAGATCCGGAGCAGACACCTCTGGTGATCTGACGACAGTTAGACAACTAGCAGCGAGACTGGATGGACTCGTGCGGACTCCCCTGGATAGGAATCCAGGGGATATACTTGTGATGTGTCCGTTTGTATATGGGGAAGCGATGAAGGCAACTTTCGTGGAAAATGATGGTTACGAGGTTTGTGAGAGGAAGGAGGGGGTAATTCTCAGTGAAATCCTGGGGGAATTTTGAAAACGAAAATTTGACCGGCTGGGTAAATGGGATGCTGAGGGGAGATTCGGGAATGCCTATGCCTTGCCTAAGCATAAGGATACGGCAAAGCATAGGCCGATCTGTCCGACGTACAGTGAACCTAGCAATGGTGTGTGTAGGAAGATAGCGCGTGCGGTCAACGGGATGCTATTTGCGCTGCCAGAAAGTGGACACTTCAATCTGAAATCAATCTGTGGACTGCGACCTCGTCTGACAATGATCAATCGTACGATGAGAAGAGTAGGGAAGTACACACGCGTGCTCGTGGGCTCTTACTATATTAAGGATATGTTTAGTAAATTGCCTCACGATGCGATTGTGTGTGCTTTGGAATGGTGCATATGGTAGCATGAGCAAAGAGGTTTCCGTTGTGTGTGGGTGAAGCAACAGGGGAAGGGAGCAGTAATGAGTAGGAAGAGCCAGATTGAGGGGTGTCAATTCATAGAGTTTGCTATGATCCGGGATTTTGTCCAATTTGAATTGGATTTGTGTTTTACCATCGCTAGTGGTTCGATCCTGCGACAGACAATAGGAATACCAATGGGAAAGGCGACGAGTCCGCCGCTCGCTTGCTTGATGTGTGTGAAGGTGGAATGGGATTTTTTGATTAGCATAGGGAATGATCGGAGGCTGGTTGCCGGGATTCGGTACGTTGATAATGCCTCCACCTTTGTGGCGTACGACCTGAGGAAACCTGAGTTGAAACGCAAAGCGGAGAGGATCCTCTCGCTGTTCGAAGGATGCTATGATGATGCCCTGACTTTGAAGAAGACTGACGTAAGTGAGAACGAGTGGGAATTCCTTGGGTGTAGATTGACAGTTAAGGGGACCTTCCCATTTCTGGGTTGCTGTCAGGCAATGAAGAACGAGAGGAGTTTGTTGGATGGATCAGAGTTGGCCTTTCGGGTTTTCCAGGATTATCGATCATGGACACCAAAGAAAGCAAAGTTAGCTGTCGTAGTTAGCGCACTGCATAGAATCGAGCATAACTCTATGACGGATATGGAGCTCGTTGGGACCTTGCTTCTTCTGCGAATGGAGCTTCGGAGACGGGATTACCGAGGGCACTTCTTTGACAAAGGACTGCGAAACTATGCTCGTGATAAAGGGATACTGTGGAAGCTGCTCGTCGAACTATTGACGAAGGGGCCTTGTGTCTGAATGATACGTGTGGACCGTGGGCAGGTCTTTCCCTGATGAGTGGTTGGCCCGTTGCTGTAACAGACTTGTTTGTGGAGTAGGTGTTTGTCTTCTTAGTTGATGTATGTATGTGTAGGTAGTTAAGGTAGTAATGGGTTTTGGTATGTGTTCCGGTGTACTTCGAATGTGGGATGCTGAAATGCGACTGTTAGTGTTAGAATGTTGTAGGAATGCGGTGGGTTTTATGGGACCAGGGCAGAAGGCTCGATATTGTTGAAGAAGTAGATTGGGCCGAACTGGTCTCGAACTGGTGACCTGCCGAGGGTGGCTTTTGTTTTTGGTTGTTTTTGTTTTTGCCTTGTTTGTTTGCATCCCGAGGATTAGTGTGGAATTGAAGGTTCGATAGTACTGATGAGGGGTCTGATGTGGACCAGGGCAGAAGGTTCGATATTGCTGTAGAAGTAGATTGGGGCGAACCGGTCTCGAACAGGTGACCTGTCGAAGGTGGCTGGGCTGGTTTTGTTCTGCTTTGTGTGCATTGTTGGTTTGCTTTGCGTGATGTAGGTTATCGTGAACTTGGTCTCGACCCATTGACCGGTAGCGGGCATGAACTCGACTTGCCTTGGCTCGGGTGTTTGACTGAGACGTCGCGATAAAAACTGGCAGACAGTCGGTTGGACTCCCTTTTGGTGCCTTGTGCACCGGAGAAGAGTCAGCGCTTTTGTTGGAGGAACGTTTGGGGGATCTCGGGCGTAGTGGAATGAAGGCGGTGCTCGTTGCTCGGGCTGTAATCATTGTTTTATCTTTGAAGCTCGGTTATGCCACTTTGTATGTGCATGACTTCGTGATTGCTTTGTGATCGCTCGTGATTGCTTTGTGATCGCTTGGTTGAGGAAATGCTCTCTCAACACGTGCAAGAATGATAAAAATGGATAGTGCAACTAAACGGCGCGGCATTTATTTCACGGTCTAATTTTTTTATTTTTATTTTGATATTTTTCCTAGAAAGATTATAACCTAATGTACGCGATCTCAAATTGTTAGAGTTTTTCCTCAATTTGTCTGAGCACGAAAAATCGTCAGGTTTGGTGCTTGAAAATTGTGGGACTGGACCCGCCTGCCACACTGTGCAACGTTAAGGTTTGGACACACAGGCACATTCTGACCTGTCAGCTGCCTGACATCGGATACACTTCATAAAGAAGCAGTCCCCAAAACCGCCCAAAACCACACAGGGACCCAATCCACCTGTTTGGTTAGGGCAATTGCGTATTTCAAATTTGTGCATGGGTTCAAACCCCAACAACAACCATTGATAGCAAACTTACAAATATTAATGTGTGTGTGTGTGTGTGTCTGTGCGTGCGTGCGTGCGTGTGGGTGGGTGGGTGTGTGTGGGTGGGTGGGTGGGTGTGGGTGGGTGGGTGGGCGACGCACCCGCCACCCCGCTCCCTTTTGTCAACGCCAATGCCGAAGAAACTTGGCGCCAGAACGATGAATAAAATGAAACTTGTGAAAACAAAAAGATAGCGTCAAAACGACGAAAACGAATAAAGCGTCAAAACGACGAAAACGTATAAAGAAAAAAAAATAATAATAATGGGAAAAAAAAAAAAAAAAAAAAACACGTCCCAAGAAGGAAAAAAAAAAAACTAGCAAAAACAGAATTAGAAATTTAAAGGAAAAAAACAGAAAACGACACTTTCTTGCAATCGACATCGAGCGCTTCGAAATATTCCCTCGCATCGACGTCCGCCGCCTTCTCCACCCCGCAGCAAAACTTCCCCCCCAAGTCCGGCGTGGAGTGGACCATCGACCTCCCTCGCGACCAATGCTGCTTAAGGGGTAGGAGGAGGAGGAGAAGGAAAAAAAGGAAACAAAAGGACACGCCAGAAGGAGAAAAAAAAATTACAAAAAGAAACGAAACAACACTTTCTTGCTATCCGACGTCGGGCGCGTTCAGATATTAATGCGCATCGACGCCCGCCATGTACCTGGTTCCGTGGGCGCACTCTCTCGTTAGTGGCGCTGTCGGAGCTGATACCCTTAAAAGGGTATCCGCTCATGATTTTGTAATCGACACAACGTCGGCACCAACAGACAGGCTGAAGA